TTATTTTTCCTAATTACAGAAGGAATGTATGGTCAAAATCTAAACATTACAGATATTTGTACCTTAGAAGGTAAAATTTTCTAGATGCCTATTTCTCAAGATATCATATTTCCTTTAGACTCTTCAGTTCATAGCAGAGTTCTTGTGCAATCAGCCACTGGTTTCTTTAATTACCTTACCATTTTCTTCCCTGTTAGGAGAATTTTCAATTGCATAACAGAAGATATTTTTAAAAGCGTTCCAGCTCTCTCAAATTTCATTATGGAAATACTGAAAAGATGGAACATGTTCATCCTTTTCTCTGGACTTTAAAACTATGTCTTTCTCAAGTCTACACACAGGTTTGAGCATACTCAGCTTTCTCTCCCTGGTTTTTAGGAATACCTTTTTGTGCTTTTTTTTTTTCTTTTTTTTTGAGATGGAGTCTTGCTCCATTGCCCAGGCTGGAGTGCAGTGGTGCGATCTCAGCTCACTGCAAGCTCTGCCCCCGGGTTCATGCCATTCTCCTGCCTTAGCCTCTCGAATAGCTGGGACTACTGGTGCCCACCATCATGCCCGGCTAATTTTTTTTTATTTTTAGTACAGACGGGGTTTCACCATGTTCACCAGGATGGTCTCGATCTCCTGACCTTGTGATTCACCTGCCTCGGCCTCCCAAAGTGCTGGGATTACAGGGGTGAGCCACTGCACCCAGCCTGTACTTCATTTTTTAAATGAAGGACTTGGACTATGTGGTCTAAAAGCACTCATCATTGCTACTTTCTCGGATTCTACCATCCACAGAAAGTTGCAGAGGTGAACAACATTTGAACAAGCCTTTGTGAAGACCAGCTTTCCCAGGCATACATGCCTGTGATAGCGATCAGAGAAGTGCCCCAGGAATGCAGCCATGGGGGAGCTAGTGACAAATTTAGAGTCCCTAATTTTTGAATCTTATTAATTAATGAATCTTTGAGGTACATGGGTGGTTGAAGGCAGCATGGAAGCTGGTCTAGAAAGGTGGAGTCTTATTATATGACTTTGGGTGATTTTATTCTCTACCTCTGTTCCATATGTGTAAAATGAGATAATGGAATTTGAAGTCAGGTGTGGTAAGCTACACTTGTGACTTACATCTATTATTTTATGTGTTTAGCACTCCACTTTTCAGGGAACAGGCACTAACTCGCTGTTTCAGTCAGAGTTCTTTCAAGGGACAGAACTAATAGGGTAGACGTATATGAAGGGGAGTTTATTAAGGAGTATTAACTCACAGGATCACAAGGTGAAGTCCCACAACAGGCTGTCTGCTTGGCTGAGAAGCAAGGAAGCCAGTCTGAGTCCTAAAACTTCAAAAGCCGACAGTGGAGCCTTCAGTCTGTGGCCGAAGATCTGAGAACCCCTGGAAAACCACTGGTGTAAGCCCAAGAGTCCAAAAGCCAAGGAACATAGAGTGTGATGTTTGAGGGCAGGAGGCATCCAGCACAGGAGAAAGATGAAGGCTGGAAGACTCAGCAAGTCTGCTCTTCCATCTTCTGCCTGCTTTATTCTAGCTGTGGTGGCAGCTGATTAGGTGGGGCCCACCCAGATGGAGGGTGGGTCAGTTTCTCCCAGCCCACTGACTCAAATGTTAATCTCCTTTGGCAACACCCAGGAGCGATACTTTGCATCCTTCAATCCAAGCAAGTTGACACTCAGTATTAACCATCACACCAGCCTTTATAGAAGTTTCATTCATTCATTCATTCATTCATTCATTCATTCATTCAACAGTATTTATTGGCTGGGTGCAGTGGCTCATGTCTGTAATCTCAGTACTTTGGGATGCTGAGGCAGGCGGATCATCTGAGGTCAGGAGTTCAAGCCTGTGCCAACATGGTGAAACCCCGTCTCTACTAAAAATACAAAAAAATTAGCCAGGTGTGGTGGCAGGCACCTGTAATTCCAGCTACTTGGGAGGCTGAGGCAGGATAATCACTTGAACTTGGGAAGCAGAGGTTGCAGTGAGCAGAGATTGTGCCATTGCACTCCAGCCTGGGCAACAAGAATGAAACTCCGTCTCAAAACAAAACAAAATAAAACAAAACAACCCAGTATTTATTGAGTGCTATGTCTGACACTATTCTAGGCCTTGGAGACATAGCAATGAATACAATATTCCTGTCCGCATGAAGCTGATATTCTGATAGAGGGCATCGGACATTAAACAAAATTAGTAAAATATGTGGTATAAATTAGTCCATTTATGTTACTCTAAAGGAATATCTGAGACTGGATAATTTATAAAGAAAAGAAGCTTAATTGGCTCACAGTTCTGCAGGTTGTGGAGGAAGCATGGTGTGGGCATCTAATTCTGGTGAGGGCCTCAGGAAGCTTCCAGTCATAGCAGGTGAATGGGGAGCAGGCACATCATATGGCCGAGAGTGGGAGCAAGAGAGCAACAGCAGGCAGGTCCCAGACTCTTAAACAACCAGCTCTCACATGAACTAACTGAGTGAGAACTCATTTGTCACCCAGGGGATGGTGCTAAACCTTTCATGAGGGGTCCACTCGCATGATCCAATCACCTACCACCAGGCCCAACCTCCAACACTGGGAATCACATTTCAACATGAGATTTGGAGGGAACCAACATCCAGATCATATTCATGGTATGTCAGGTGAGATGTGCCATGGGAAAAAATAAAGCCAGAAAGTTAGCTAGGAAAGTGTCATGGTAGAGGGATAGAAAGAATGAGGTATTATGTTCTACAGGTGGTCAGGAGTGACTTCATCCAGATGGTTTTTGGAACTGGATCAAAATAGGATGGTTTAAAACAAGGATGTGGAATGAAAAGTTACAATAAAAGGCCTATTAGAAGAAGGAAAGAGGAATAAAGACACAAGTGGACCTGGCGCGATGGTTCGTGCCTGTAATCCCAGCACTTTGGGAGGCTGAGGCAGGCGGACCACCTGAGGTCAGGAGTTCATGACCAGATTGACCAACATGGAGAAACCCTGTCTCTACTAAAAATGCAAAATTACCTGGGTGTGGTGCCACATGCCTGTAATCCCAGCTACTCAGGAGGCTGAGGCAGGAGAATCCCTCGAACCCAGGAGTTGTGGGGAGTGAGATTGCGCCACTGCACTCCAGCCTGGGCAGCAAGAGTGAAACTCTGTCTCAAAAAAAAAAAAAAAAAAAAAAAAAAAAAAAAGACACAAGTGATTAGCATAAAAGAAGGATGTGCAGCCAGAGACAGAGAACTTTCTAGATTCTGAATAGTGTACCAGTGTATTTCTGATAAATCATCTCCCCCGTGCCCCCCAAGCTGGTATGAATCAGTTTTCTGTTGCTTCTAACCAAAAAGCCCACACTCATACTTGTATTGGAGCAAGAAAACCTGTGAATTCAAGGCCTGCCCAATGTGGGAGATGTTGGTTACCTTAGAAAAACAAAACTTGGTGCTTCTGATCCCAAGAATGCCGATATGATAGCAGAGTAGAATTAATTTAGTTGTGTCCTAGCATCCCAGAAATCAAACGTGCAAGAAATATCAATTTCTTCATTTTGTTTAAATCAAATTAACTCTGGTCCTACACTGGGCTGATGGAAAATTCGAATATAAGCATCATTTGTCACCCCTAGTTCTGCTCTCCTTCTGCATCCCTCTGCATCCTTCACCCCCAGAGCCACAACAGAAACAGGGAGGCTTGCTGATGTCTGGACAATTGGGAAAAGGCCTCTAATCTCCAAGTCGTCATTGGTCAAGCCTTCCAACCTTCCCTGCAAGTCCCTGGCTCTCTGCTTCCATGCCACAAGAACAGAGAACTCTTTCCTGAGGCTAAAGGACACCATGCTCCTTGGGGTGCAGTCATCTCTTCTGAAGTCATGACATCTTCCTGGAAAAACGAACATCTTGAAGCAGGGCCAGGTGTCCACTAATCTTTTGATATGCCAATCTTTTCAGTTAGCTTAGGCTTTTATAATAGACCACAAGAGTAGGTGACTTCCTTCTAGGAGTTATAGCTTTCCGCCCTGAAAAAACTCCCTCAAATTTTTTTTTTTCCTTTTAATAAATTGTTCTGCCATGTGTTTGTTGTACGAATGGGTGCAAGTTCAAATGGGATCCCATAACTGGTGATTGTGAGCAGCTAAGGGGCATCATTAAAATACCAGATGTTAAAGTCCAAAAGTATGATGAGGAGAAAGAGTGACTGTAAAGAAACCTAAAAAACAATGAGGACAAACTTTATCTGTCTCACAATACTTATGATAGCATTTAATGTATCTGGTGCAAAAGTAATTTTTCTCCACTCTGCCTTATGCTGGGATCAAAACAATATTCCTCAGTCTTGTTGAGGAGTGAATAACTTTTAGGGAGAAGGTCTCAAATGGAAAGTAGTTTAAAGTTTACGAATTGCAAGAATGCCTTTTGATATCTAAGCAATGTGTACTAAGGAATGCAACCTACTGAAAAGCTGGTATTCAAAATCGGAATTATTAAAAATTGTAGTGGAGGCAGTGGGGGCTTGGAGGGCGGCAAACAGGAGTGCATGAAGAGCATCAAAATAAGCCCAAGTGATTTACCATTGGCTTGGTTTCTTCGGGAAATTTGAATAATTCATACTTATTTATACGTTTTCAAATATTTATTTAAGTGCCTACAACGTGTGAGGCATCTAGGATGTCTCGGCAAACGTGGTACATAAGTTCCTCGCTCCAATAGAGCTCACATTTGGATGTCTTCTAATTCTGAACCTGAATGCAAGAGCACAACACAGTCAATGAAGCAGTGAGCCCAGGAAGCCATGGATCTTCACAAGCCCCAGGAAAACTCAACATTTAAAACTTTCTATTTAAAACATAAGGGCACAGCAGGCTCTTGGTCTGTATGGGAAGGCCATGGACTACAATTCCCACAAGCCCTTGTGACCTCTCCGTTCTGCGCAGCTTCGCGGTATGAGAAAGAGGGTCCTGTCAGGCGCACTCTTGTTGCATCATTAGCGTGCGCCTCCACCATGAAACAGGTTTGGACTACAAAAGTATGGCCGCTTCTGAGGCGGCGGTTATGTCTTCGTCGTCTTTGAAAACAGACACATTCCCTGTCCTTGAAACTGCAGGAACGGTCGCAGCAATGGCTGCGACCCCGCCAGCAAGGGCTGCAGCCGCGGTGGTTGCGGCCGCGGCCAGGACCGGATCCGAAGCCAGGGTCTCCAAGGCCGCTTTGGCTACCAAGCTGCTGTCCCTGAGCGGCGTGTTCGCCGTGCACAAGCCCAAAGGGCCCACTTCAGCCGAGCTGCTGAATCGGTTGAAGGAGAAGCTGCTGGCAGGTACTGCAGCCCGGGTGGGGACCAGGCTGAGGCGGTCGCTACGAGAGGGGAAGCACATTAGGCTTTTTGCGACGCTCGTGATTCAAGAGACAAAAGGAAGGGAAAGGGAGAATGACCATTGAATTAGCTCTGGACAGAAATCTCGGGCATCTCGGGCTTGGACTTGCCCTGGCACGAACTCTTGTAGCCTACTTGGCAGTTGTTCTCAGTGGGAGGAAGAAACCCATACTTACACAATAAAACCCTGCCCTTGGGCGTGCAGACCTATTTTCTGTAATCTGATCCCTCAGGAGGCTTTTGTTGGGTTCATGTGGATGAACCCCAAAAGGAAGTACTGGCACTTACCCCCAAAGTTGCATTCCTCAGAATGTATTGGAAATGCAGATATACTTCGTTAACCAAGACTTAATAAAGTCGTTTTCATATTTTAGTGGGCCTAACAATTACTTAGAGTCTCTTGTACAAATACAGATTCCTAATCCCTGCCCTGTCCGAGATTGTGATTCGGACGGTTCAGGGTATTTTTAGGAAACTGCAATTCTGAATAGTTGCTCCAGGTGATTCCAGTGTAAGTGGTTTATGGACCACGTTTGAGGAACACTAAATATAACTTGGTCACTAAGCTGAGAGTGTTCTTTTTATTGATTCGTTTATTCACGTATACTGGGAAAATACTAGAAGAGCCTAAAGAATCACCCCCTTAATCAGCTTGTATGATTTCACACATAAAGCATCCAGGATCCTTAAGTTCGTTGGACATATACACTAAACCAGGTCTGTGCTAGCCTGTAGAGACTTGAAGATAAAAGATACTGCCTCTTACCTTAACTGAGCTGACAGCCTAGTGATTTCTGCACCCTGTGGTTGTAAAACTAGTTAGCTAGGTTATTCAAGGTTCTCCAGAGTTTGGCCGTATTCTGTCTCGCCATTAAACCAGTACAGGGACTTTCTTATATTGTTTAGTGTCCCATGGAAAACTTTACACTTAAAAAAAATGCAAAAATAAATTATTCTAATGGGAATTATAACTGACAGTACAGATTTAAATGTTTATGGGCAAATAGGCACGCTCCTGCAGATGTTTAATTCCAGTATCACGACTACTCATTCTTTTATTGAAGTTTTGCTTTGTTGCCTGAAAGGATGACTCATTCAGAGGACGTCAAAGTAAGGAATTGCATCAAGGATATGTATTGTGGTGTCATCATAGTTTTTTAGTTTTCCTATATAGAACTGCTGCTTTCCTGATTTGTTAACTAAACTCTGGGTTTCTTTTTTTGTTATCCTTAAGGTAATGATTACCATTCTTTCAGAAAAGTTTCTGACAAAGCCATATGGCTAATCTCTCTAAGAACTGAATTTTCTTGTTGAATCTTGGTTAAAATGATTGTTTCAAGGCTGTTGCTAGGCTAGAATCTTTAGCTAGAGACATTCTCATTATCCTTGATTTCTATATTGTTTGTGATTGGCCTATTCTGTATTTATGTTAGTTAGGCTATGGCTTTCCAGATGCCGTTATAACTGGCTGTCAGAATTACTTGGGAAGTATTTGAGACGGAGTTTCGCTCTCGTTGGCCAGGCTGGAGTGCAATGGCATGATCTCGGCTCACTGCAACCTCCACCTCCCGGGTTCAAGTGATTCTCCTGCCTCAGCCTCTCAAGTAGCTGGGATTACAGGCATGCACCATCAACTCTGGCTAATTTTGTATTTTTAGTAGAGATGGGGTTTCTCCGTGTTAGTCAGGCTGGTCTCGAACTCACGACCTTAGGTGATCCACCCGCTTCAGCCTCCCAAAGTGCTGGGATTACAGGCGTGAGTCACTGCGCTCGGCCTTGGGAAGGTTCTTAAAGATGCCTGCATTCTAATGTTAGCTGTGTTTGACAACCACAGTCAGTGGTTGTGTCCTCCAATACCATTCCTCGTCTTTCTTTGCGTTGATTCCTGTTATACTGCAATCCCTAATCTTTGTCTGTTGGGATCCTTCAAAGCCCTAAGTGTACCAGAATTTTATAGCTAGAAAATACTTTAATAAAAATCCACGAATACTTAGTTCAGTGGGGTGAACCAAATTCCCCACTTTATATAGTAGAGGCAGTATGTCTGCAAGTTAGAAGGAGGTATATTTGGGCACAAAGGGAAGATAGTATATTTATGGGGCCTTCCTACTCCAAGGGGTGTCAAGTTGAAAATACAAAGAGTTCCCCAAAAGGTTTCTGTTAATTTGTGGGTGAGAGATCCATGATGGGTTGCAAGTGACAGGTCAAGGGTTTGAAACCGAGGTCTGGCCTTTGAAGTTTATGTCAAAGCAGACAGCCATACCCTTCTAAGTACAGTGATGTCATAATTAGAGAATGATGCCAGGGTGTTCCAGAGACCATGGTTCTGACTCAGTAGAGTGATAATTTTCTTGGGAGGCCGAGCCACCCAGCATTCTTTTGGCCATTTAATCTGGCTTCTGCATTTCCATTGTTGCTTTGATTTCCCTCCTCCCTTGTCTGTCCACTCATTTCGTTTTCTTTGCTTTATTTTCTTTCTACTCTGCGTCAGTGTTGATAAGGAAGGTTTGACGGGCTTGGGGGCAGGTATAGATCAATATAGCAGTTCCTGCTTTTCTTTCTCACTTGACATCTAATAGTCAATACTCTCTCAATATGTTATATGCCATCATCAAAACAATTTATATTTACCCAGAAGGAAGCACTGGCCCTGTCTCCCCAAAATACTTTCAAGTAACATTATTTTGCCTTATTTTTATTTTTTTTAAATAGGATAGGATCTCACTCTGTTGCCCAGACTGGAATACAGTGGCACAGTCTTGGCTTACTGCAACCTCTGCCTCCCGAGCTCAAACAGTCCTCTCCCCTAAGCCTCCCCAGTAGCTAGGGCTATAGGTGCACACCACCATGCCCAGCTAATTTTTGTATTTTATTTTGGATAGAGACAGGGTTTCCCTGTGTTGCCCAGGCTGGTCTCGAACTTCTGGGTTCAAGTGATCCATCCATCTCGGCCTCCCAAAGTGCCGGGATTACAGACATGAACCACTGTGCCTGGCTCACTTTATATTTACAACAGGAATATGAGATAAGCCAGGCTGGCATCCTCTTTTTAAAGATCTAAATGCTTAGGAAGTTAAGGTGCAACTTGATCTTAGCTGCTTTCCACATAATGTTTTGTTGAGATTCATTTCTTTAATGAATTGAAAATTTTGGTTTTTCAATTTCAAGGAGACAGCGAATACAGGGAGTTTGGGAATTTGGTGTATTTAGAAATAGCCCTGCATGAGATGTACTCCCAGTGTTAGGTAGCTAGAGATGCCAGCAAAGACCATGGAAGAGATTTAGAAATGCAAATTGAGGACTTTTAAAAGTATCTTTGTATATAAAAATTAACTTCTTTTCGTGATTCTCTAAGAGCCCACCACTACCAAGAATTTACTAGATTTTTGCAGGTTAGTTTGGATATTTACCCACCTTTTAAAAATGCCATTTTTCTCTTAGAGAATGAATTCTAGTGTCTTGATAGCTAATTTTGGAATACTCTTTCTTTATAATTTAGGGAATATACATTTTAAAATCTTTTCTTTACTAGTAACGAGGTCATAGTCTCTTAACATGTGAAGTTTGTATAATACTTTTTATTTGTTTTGAAAATGCCATTCCCTCTTCCTCCCAAGTTTATGGAAATCCTACTTAATTTGTCGTGGTAATCACCTTTTTTTCATCCCCATTACTCTCGTAGAAGCTGGAATGCCTTCTCCAGAATGGACCAAGAGGAAAAAGCAGACTTTGAAAATTGGGCATGGAGGGACTCTAGACAGCGCAGCCCGAGGAGTTCTGGGTAAGAGATATGAAAGGAAATTAAGTGTCCACTGTCACTTAATATCAGAAAGAAACACTGGTTGAGAACAGATAGATTGACTAAAGCCTTATATTTTTCACTATACTTTGGAATGTTTCAGATCTACTGGATATATATAGTGCCATCTTTTAAAGAAGCCTTTAAATCGTACAAGGCCTACAAGGCTGTTAGAAATAGCTACTTTTATGTGTGGATGGGACTTTGAAAAAAGGTTTCCCTCTGTGCAGAAAAGAGTTAACATAGCAGGCCTGAAATTACTATCTTTAGAAAGGTCTGCTTGCACAGCTTGCCCTTGGCTGGTATCTGGGAACTTGGATTTTAGGAGTGTTCCCACCCTTCGCTGTCTGATAAGGCTGGTTGGCTATGCCTCAGATGTTTCTGGGAACACCAGCTTTCCTTCTAGGAATCTGGAATTTTGCTCCACTGCTAAGGCAGAGGGTGCCTGAGTGATCATCCTCTCAAGTCCCCAGTAAAACCTGTGGGCACTGGGGTCAGGCATGGTGGCTCACGCCTGTAATCCCAGCACTTTGGGAGGCTGAGGCAGGCGGATCACGAGGTCAGGAATTTGAGACCAGCCTGACTGACATAGTGAAACCCTGTCTCTACTAAAAATATGAAAATTAGTCGGGTGTGGTGGCATGTGCCTGTAATCCCAGCTACTTGGTAGGCTGAGGCAGGAGAATCGCTTGAACCTGGGAGGCGGAGGTTGCAGTGCGCTGAGATCATACCACGGAACTTCAGCCTGGGTGACAGATGGAGACTCTATCTCAAAACAAAACAAAACACAGCTTTGGGCACTGAGTTTCTAATGAGCTTCCCTGAGCGAAACATTGCACACGTGTTACCGCTTTTTTTGTTAGAGAAAGCAGCACGCTCGAGCATCCTTTCACAGGAGGGGGAGAGGATAAGGAAGCTTGTGCCCAGATTTCTCTGTGTCTTTATCTCTTATGGTCCAACTGTGTATTCTTACTACATCACTGTAAAAAATCTGAGCTATATATCAATCTTTGAATGTGGGCTGGTCTTGGGGACTCTTGACAAGGTAGAAGGCTCTGTTTGTCTGCCTATCTCTAATCTGATCTCTGAAATCAACTCTCTTGAGAAGGGGAAGCTTGAGAGGAAGTCATTTTCTGCTAGAGATATATTAGTTGACTATTTTATTGCTTGTGAAGGAAAATTAGTAGAATTGATCAAAGGGAATAAAAATATTTTATCCTTTTTTATTCCATCTGTTTTTTGTTTTTTGTTTTTTGCCCCTGGTGGAGATTCTGAAGTGCAAGTGTGTTATACACAGGCTAGGGTATATTTTACTCTGTAACTGCATCCTTAGTCACAGAACTACCTGCATACATTGGGATCCCTCTCAGTGCCCCCTTCCTCACATACGAGAAACAAACTTTCATGGAACAATACTCATCTTTTTACATGCTCTGGTATTTTATATTTTATTCAGTTTCATTTACAGCAAAAATTAGGTACAAAGGAACAACAGCAAACCTTGATCTAAGCTATCCAAAGTAAATGAGTGCTTATTTAAAAGGATAAAATTGGTGAAGAAAATGGTATGCTTCAAGAACATTATAAACTGTATGATTTTTGTATTTTCTAAAATTATAGGTTTATGTTGGCAGTAATATTTTTACTTGAGGTTAAAATAGAAAAAATCAGTTCGAGACCAACCTGACCAACATGGTGAGACCCTGTCTCTACTAAAAATACAAAATGTAGCCTGGTGTGGTGGCATGTGCCTGTAATGCCAGCTACTTGGGAGGCTGAGGCAGGAGAATCACATGAACCCAGGAGGTGGAGGTTGCAGTGATCTGAGATCCCGCCATTGCACTCCAGCCTGGGCGACAAGAGTGAAACTCCGTCTCAATAAATAAATGAATAAATAAACAAACAAAATAGAAAAAATCAGGCTGGGCACAGTGACTCATGCCTATAATCCTAGAAATTTGGGAGGCCGAGGTGGGTGGATTGCTTGAGCCCAAGAGTCCGAGACCAGCTTAGGCAATATGGTGAAACCCTATCTCTATAAAAAATTTAAAAATTAACTGGGTGTGGTGACACATACCTATAGTCCCAGCTACTTGGGAGGCTGAGGTGGGAGTATCACTGGAACCTGGGAAGTTGAGGCTGCAGTGATCTGTGATTGCACCACTGCACGCCAAAAAAACAAGCATAACAAAACAAAAACCCCAGCTAATAATAAGCATTTATTGAGCACTTACTGTATATAAGGTCTTCAGTTTTGGGCATTCGTAAGTTCTATAGTTTAATTCTCATTGTAACCTATAAGAGAAGTTATTACTATCCCCATTTTACAGAAGAAGAAAGGAAGACCCTGAGAGATAAAGTAACATGTTCACTGTCAGAATTAGTGAGTGACAAAGTCAGGATTTGAGCCAGATCTGCTCAGTTCCAAAGCATCTGCCCTATTGTGGATGGCAGATACCTGGTGCTCCTGCTTTTGTTCCTCATGCCCTGTGCTCTTGGCAGAAATTGGGGCTTCATGATTCTTATCAGCTTAGCACTTCAGTAGCCTGTACCAGTTGATTAGAGTTGGCCTTTGAGTTGAAGCCTATGTTCCTAACCCTTCTGCTTTACTGTTTTCCAGGCATAGCACCACAAATACAAGAAAAGAGAGGATAAGATCTGTTGCTTATTTATGAATAGATCAATTTCTGTTAATTTCTAGTGGCAGTTCTTCATTGGCATGCAGAAAATAGTCATATTCAAGGCAGTGAATGAAAGTTTATTTTTTACCCTAAACCTAAGGCAAGCTTGTCCAACCTTTGGCCTGCGGGCTGCATGTGGCCTAGGGGGGCTTTGAATGCAGCCCAACACAAATTTGTAAACTTTCTTAAAACATCATGAGATTGTTTTGTGATTTTTTTTTTTTTAAACTCATCAGCTGTTGTTAGTATATTACGTGTGTGGCCCAAGATAATTCTTTCATTGTGGCCCAGGGAAGCCAAAAGATTAGACACCCTTGGCCTAAGGGATCTTGTTGAAGCTTCCATTTTAGTAGTATGAAGGGGCTGAGATTTGTATGTGTGGAAGAAACTGTATTGGAAACAGTTTTCTGGTTGGAGGCTTAATTTATATTTGATCACACAGGGACTTTTATGATGATATAATATGTTCATATGTCAGATGTATTAATTTTTCTTCTAATGCATGTGATTTCCAAGGAGAGAGAAAGTTTAAAAAATTGTTGGTGTTTAGTCACAGAGTAAGGGATGTTTGTTGTCCAAGTTAGCAGTTCTGGAAACTTATGAGAAGACGATTTTTGATTGTGTGGTAAAATAAACACTGGACTCTAATCATACTTCGGTTTACACACTGGCTACTGGCTGCTTTAATTACTAACTATATACACCCTAAGAAAATCCCATAACTTCACTGAATGTTTCTTCATCTCTTAAAAGAGGATAATGTCTACCAAAACTGAGTCAAAAGGTTTTCAAAAATATCTTACAAAATACTTATAGTATGTAGATATATACTTTATCCTGTGAAGTGTTGTATACAGGTCTTTTTTATTTTTATTTATTTATTTTTTTGAGATGGAATCTTGCTCTGTTGTCCAGGCTTGAGTGCAGTGGCGTGATCTCGGCTCACTGCAACCTCCGCCTCCCAAATTCAACTCCCAATCCCTGACTAGCTGGGATTATAGGTGACTGCCACCACGCCTGGCTGATTTTTGTATTTTTAGTAGAGTCAGGGTTTCACCATGTTGACCAGGGTGGTCTTGAACTCCTGATCTCAAGTGATCTGCCCACCTCAGCCTCCCAAAGTGCATGGTGAGCCATCATGCCCGGCCAAAAGGTCTTTTTTGAAAACAAACAAACAAAAGAAAACAAACTAAAACTGGACCTGTGCAAAAAAAATACACTTTTTCTTTCAACATTTTTTTTTTTTTGCAATATTAATGATGCAGTTAAGAATTTAGCTGACAATTTAAGATTATAACCTGAAATTCAGGTTTATAATTCTATAGCATGATTGCTAGAGGGTTCACAAGTTTCTCAAAAATACATGGTAGGCAGGCCGGGCGCAGTGGCTCTAATCCCAGCACTTTGGGAGGCCGAGGCGGGTGGATCACGAGGTCAGGAGATCAAGACCATCCTGGTTAACACGGTGAAACCCCGTCTCTACTAAAAATACAAAAACTTAGCCGGGCACAGTGGCGGGCACCGGTAGTCCCAGCTACTCGGGAGGCTGAGGCAGGAGAATGGCGTGAACCCGGGAGGCGGAGCTTGCAGTGAGCGAGATGGCGCCACTGTACTCCATTCTGGGCGACAGAGTGAGACTCCGTCTCAAAAAAAAAAAATGGTAGGCAAAATATGGCCCTCTAAAGGTGTCCGTGTCCTAATTTTCATAACCTGTGAATATATTAGGTTACATCACAAGGAGCATTAGGGTTGTAGATGGAATTGATGTTGCTAATCAGCTGACTTTAAGATAGATTATCCTGAAATTTCCAAGTAGACCCAATGTAATCATAATATTCTTTAAAAGTGGAAGAGGAGGCAGAAGAGAGAGTCAGAGGACATGTGGCAGTGGAGGCAGAGGTTGGAGTAATGTGGGTTGCTGGCTTTGAAGAGTGAAGGGGATCACAAGCCAAAGAATGGGGGCAGCCTCTAAAAGCTGGAGGAGGCAGGCAAGCAAAAAAATGGGTCCTCTAGGGGGGCTCTAGTGAAGGATTCTCCCCTAGCACCTCCAGAGAAGAACACAGCCAAGCCAACCCTTTGATTTTAAGCCTAGTTAAACCCATTTCAGGCTTCTGACCTCCGCAACTGTATGATAAAAAGTTTGTATTGTTTTAAGCCAGATTGGTAATTTGTTACAGTAGCAATAGGAAAGGAATACACCTGTTTATCATAAATCACTTAAAATGTAAATAAAATTTCTATATACCATTTCAAAAATGATGTTTTTAAATTTTAGAGGTTATACAAACAGTGGGAAAATTTCGAAAATACAGGAAAGTTGAAAATAAAAAATTATCCATTTTCCACCTTTCATCAATAGTCAGTTAACATTTTTGCCATATTTCCTTGTAGCTTTTTGTCTATGTGATTTTTAAAGTTGAGCTCTACTTCACTGTGTGTACTTATATATCCATTTTTTAAACTTAACATTGTAACATAGACATTGTTCATGTTGATAAGCTCTTTGTAAACTTTATTTTTAATGGCTATAAAATGTTCCATCATATGGCTAAAATACAATTTGTTAATCATTTCCCTATTTGAGGTCCCTGAGGTTATTACCAGAGTTTTATCAGAACTGATTTTGTGAGGGATGTCTTTCTAGATAGAACTTTTTGTTTGTTTTGTTTTTAGTTTTTATTTTTTACCGACACATCTGTATCAGCCAGGTGTTTCAGATTCTTAAAATAGATTCCTACAATTGGAAAGATACGAGCCTTGTAAGATGATCCTATAGAAAGCTGGAAATACATGTATGGAGTCCATGCCTGTCCTAGAGAGACTCTCATCATAAACAAATTCTATCTTTTTGGTTTGAGAATAGGATACTAGGACATTGGATAAGTTTGGAGATAGTTGTTTTTGGTTTTGTTTTTTAACAGAGAAGACATTTGAGTGAGCACAGAACACTTGGGAGATAGAGTAGGAGAGTAGTGATTGTGCAACAGTGCATGGAAAACCCTGTCATTCATCCACTCTCTAAATTCTCCATACCTTTTCAGATGTGGTGCCTTTGCTCATGTTTTTCTTTTATAAGCTGCTCATCTCTCTCAGCACCTTTGGTTGTAGAAGTCCTACTGGCCTTTCCAGGTTCAGCTGAAATGCCATTTCCTACCTTTGAAGCCTGCCTGCTTGCTCTTCTATACTACTAATGTAAAATTTCATTTTGTTCTCCTGGTTTTTGTTAATATCTCTCTCTCTATTAGATTGTTAAATCACAGCTGAAGCCAGGTCTTATTTATTTCTGCACCTACACAATAAGTACTGAAAACAATTTTGAGTGATTGAAGGCAAAACATGCTAAGTAAAAATTCTGTCCAGGAAACTAACCTGTGAATGAAAAGCTGCTGGTTGGCTAGGTCCCAACTCCAGATAATTTTTCTATATGCCACCACCATATTAGTCTTCCTAAAATTCTGCTTTCACTAATCACCTCACTTCAGTGGCACTTGGTTATTCTTAGGTATAAAATGAGAGGATTAAGCTGGGTAACTCTAAGATGCCTTCTTTTAAATTTTATCCTTCTGGGTCACTAAACTAGCTCAGAAACGATCATGAGTTCAGGATTTCAACCATGTTAAAGTCAAACGTGTCAGCCTGCTTCTAAGATACCCTGTGTTCAGTTGATAAACCCACTGTTCTCATCCTTGTATCTGAGAGTTTGTGCAATTATTTTCTTTTTTAAAACATGCTTCTCTTCTCTCTGTTGTGTTCCCTGTACATCCTTCAAAGGCCTAATACAAACTCTGAAATGCTTGAATGAAGCGTTCTCTGGCCTCTTTAGTCATTTAGAATGCTCCCACCTTTGCCTTGCTATGGCAGCTGTTCTCTCTCTGTTCATTTTGACACTTAATCATATACTATCATATTGTTATTTAGCATTTTTCACTCATTAGGCAACATTTCTTGAGCACTGTATTTTTCTGTATTTTATTTTCCTGATGAGATTATAAGCTGTTTTGAAGTTAGGAAATGTGTCACAAGTTTCTTTGCTTTTCCATTGGAAGTATTCCTCTTGGGATTATGTTTATAGTAGTTGTTCAAAAAAATATTGTTTGGGGATTTATTTGATTGGGATCAAATTGCATTGAATCTTTCCTGTTTGCCTCATCAGCAGTAGTATCTACAAGTTCTGTCATTTGAAGAGTATTATGCTCTTCAGAGGATTACTGAGGGCAGACTGTTTTGATCTTAGACCTTGAACTATATGACTTGGATCAATACAGATGAGTGCCATAGAAGTTTTGAGGGGGTTGGAATAGACTTTATGAATGAGTTGGGGCTTGAGCTGGGCTTCAAAGGATTGACTTTGAATACTTTAATAAGGAGTTGGTACTGTAGGCACTGGGACCCTACTAAGGATTGTTTGGGGGGCTTTGTAATGTGAAAAATAGGGTTTCAGAAATGGTTAAGAAGTGGTATGAATTGGAAGAGAAAGGGATAGGATGTAGAACTGTCAGGTTTGCAGTGATGTAGGCTGTTGGCAGTGAAAAGAAAGCCTAGGTGAGTTAAGGTGGCAGAGGGAATGGAAAGGAAGGGGGTCAGCTCTTAGACCATTTGGTTTGAATCTTAACTCTACCAGGTACTGGTTGTGAGATGCTGGACAAAGTTCTTAGTCTCTTATTCCTGTTTCCTCATCTATCTCATCTATCAACAGGGGTAATTATACCATCTTTTAAAGTTTTTTTTTTTTTTTTTTTAGATGGAGTTTTGCTCTTGTCACCCAGGCTGGAGTGCAGTGAAGTACAATGGTACGATCTTGGCTCACCGCAACCTCCACCTCCTGGGTTCAAGCGATTCTCCTGCCTTAGCCTCCCAAGTATTTGGGATTACAGGCATGTGCCACCATGCCCGGCTAATTTTGTATTTTCAGTAGAGATGGGCTTTCTCCATGTTTGTCAGGCTGGTCTCGAACTCCTGACCTCAGGTGATCTGCCCTCCTCAACCTCCCAAAGTGCTAGGATTACAGGCGTGAGCCACCATGCCTAGCCTTTTAAAGTTGTTATAAGGATTAAATGGGATAATGAAAGGAGAGCATTTCGAGTAGAATCTGATACATGGTAAACTCACTGAATGGTATTTGCCGTAAATATTGAAGATATTTTTTCCAGTTTGCCAATCAGTACTCCTTGTTTGCTTTTATAATTCTGAATTGTGGTGGTTGTGTTGTGTTCTTATGCTACAGTTGTATCTGTTGATGACAAATATTTCAATTCTTACAAAAGTGTGGCTTCTTACAAAAAGAGAAGTGACTAAATCCTCTCACCCTCACCGAGTGAAATGTGTTGTCGTATGAATAATGTTTGAAATTTAAGAGAAAGGTAGGCCATTGTTGTACTTTATATTTGGTCTCTGTTAAAATACATTCTTCAGCCTTCATTTTACCTTGTATTCTTCTTTGTGTTACACTGAGTTGTTATGTTTCTCTTTCCTTGATTATATATACTGCTGGGTGCTAATCATCTTTAAATGGTTCATTAGCTATGATAATGGCTTTTGCTTTGTTTAATAATGAATTCTGTCAAAAGACTTTATCATACCCACTTGAACATGGTTAATTGTGCCATGTGTTTTTTACTGGTGCCAATATAAAATTCCAGTGTGTCCTTTGAGATTGTTCTAAGGCTTCATTATCTAATGGGCTGGGTTGAGGTTTCTACTGAGTTTAATGCTTTGAGAATGGGGAGAAAGGTCTTCTCATCCCTTCTTTAGAGTTTCTTATTTGCATGACAAGTTCAACTGTTTGGAGTAATAGGAGCCCTGAAATTTTGCTAAATATATGCTCTTTCCCACTTCACATTACCTAAGCCGGGAAATTATGACCAAAATATATAGCTATTTTAAAAACCTAGTTTTCAGAACAGAGTGTCATAATATTTCTTTCTTTGATTTGTAGTTGTTGGAATTGGAAGTGGAACAAAAATGTTGACCAGTATGTTGTCAGGGTCCAAGGTAAGAATACTGAAATAGTTCTGTTTTTCTTTAATGTTCTTAATGACTTACATGTATTGGATTTTTATCAAATAGAAAAACTGAGTAAACTGCATGAATGGGTATCATTCCTGAGTATTATGTCTACAAACATATCTGAGATTGAAAATATCGAGACTGAAAATTGGAAATTCTTAATTGAAAACCAATTAGACTTAAAGAAACAATGCTACAGTGCTCATCATTTAATAAAATTATATTTGGGGCCGGGCGCGGTGGCTCAAGCCTGTAATCCCAGCACTTTGGGAGGCCGAGACGGGCGGATCACGAGGTCAGGAGATCGAGACCATCCTGGCTAACATGGTGAAACCCCGTCTCTACTAAAAAAAATACAAAAAACTAGCCGGGCGAGGTGGCGGGCACCTGTAGTCCCAGCTACTCGGGAGGCTGAGGCAGGAGAATGGCGTCAACCCAGGAGGCGGAGCTTGCAGTGAGCTGAGATCCAGCCACTGCACTCCAGCCTGGGCCACAGAGTGAGACTCCGTCTCAAAAAAAAAAAAAAAAAAAATTATATTTGGACTTATAAAATATCATATTTCTTAGATGATTGGGACTTAGAGATCATAAATGCTAGTGGCAGACTTTTTTAAACCTTAGAATTTTTATAGAAACAATACCATTTTGTAAAACTGCGCCCTTTTAGCAAAAATATGCTTTGTTCATTGGTTATAAAATGTTTATTAAAGAAAAGAGTAGGGCCTCTTTAAGATGATAAGGTATGTTCATTTATGAGAGTAACCTTGAATAGATCCAAAAGCACTTTTCTAGGCACTTGATAGAAGAGAGAAGGGGTTATTTGGAGGCAGGAGTGGCTGGAAAGCTGTGAACTGCTGGTAGAAGGGGTCGCTTCCAGCTGTCAAAGAGATAATGTCTGTATCCATATGAGTAATTAGGTGCTAGTTATAAGTGCTGGGACTAAGGGCCAATGAAAATGCATGTGCAAGGAAGATGAGTATGCCAAGAGGTAGCAAAAAATTTCATTATGTTCCTGGAATAAACTTTGTTTTAAAACTCTTGCTCTAAATGTAATATAAATTATTGATAAAATGACTTTTGTTTCTTTAAAAGAATCTGTAGTCAAAGACTATTTAAAACAATTTTCAGTTCATTGCGGACTGATTGATGACTTTTGTAAAATATAATTAAAATATTATGGCAATGTAAAATTGCTAAATAAGTTTCTACGCAATCTCATTTTCTGAACTTATTATAGATACTAGCCTGTGGAATACACTTGACATAGTAGTGGTTTAAGTATTAAAATAAAAGCCCTGGCCGAGCGTGGTGTCTCATGCCTGTAATCCTAACACTTTGAAAGGCCAAGGTGGCAGATCACTTGAGGTCAGGAGTTTGAGAGCAGCCTGGCCAACATGGTGAAACCCATCTCTACTAAAAATACCAAAAAAATTATCCAGGTGTGGTGCTGCATACCTTTAATACCAGCTACTTGGTAGGCTGAGGCAGGAGAATCACTTGAACCCAGGAGGCGGAGGTTGCAGTGAGCCAAGATCATGCCACTGCACGCCAGCGTGGGTGACAGAGTGAGACGACTCCATCTCAATAAATAATAAGTAAGCTAGGTAGGTAGGTAGATAGATAGGTACATAGATACATAGATTGATTGATAGATTTTAAAAAGCCCTGGAGAACATACTGCATGTGATATCTCATTTTGGTTATCAACTGGCATAAAAATCTGTGTGCCATTCAATTGGAAGGAATCTTAGTACCTATGATAAATGAAGTGTGGCTTGCTTTGTAATCTTCAAAATATTGGTGTTGAAAAATTAGAGTGTAAACATTGCGTTACAATGAAGGCGTTTGACAGTTTCTCAGTAAATATGTATATTGTGCTTAAATACTGACACACAGAGTTTAGAATCTGTTTCTGATACTGATTTTTGCCAGTTGTTTAATATTTGTTTCTGTACTCCCAAAGATGAACAATGTTTACTTTAATATGGGATTATGGATGATTTTTTTTTCCGCATTATTTGGCATTTTCTAAAATCTATACAATAAACAAGGCACTTTTATGTTAATAATAAAAATGTTATGTTTACATTAAGGAATTTGTTTGGGTTTTTTTTCCCAAGGTAAAATGTATCGTGTTCATTGAGATATTCATTGTTCACCCCTCCTTCCCCAAACTACAAACACAGGCACACTATATATTATTGAAAGATTTTACTTGTAAATTTCAGGCATATTTTCAGAAATATTATGACTGAAAATGTAAATACATCACTGACTCAGGTATAAATTTTATAACAGCCAATTTGCTGTTCAGCTACAAAACCTGAATGTCATACAGTGAAATCACTGATCCTCAGATGACTGTAACATAAATAGAATACCACAGGTGCATCTTGTTACAGAAACCTAGTTCTTAGGTATTTTGTATTTCAAAAATAGGCATCATTGTCTTGTTAGCTATTTATATTTCTTATCCTTTTAGTTTTATGTACATGTTAAAAGAACTAAATCATTAAGAGTTTAGTGATGATGAAGACTATTTTTTAATAAAAAGTAGTTAAAAACTGTTAATAAATTTTTTTTCTTTTTTTAAAAGCACTGGAAGGAATCTTAGAGATCATCTTACCTAGTGACTTTCAAAATTTTTTTGACTAAGACCCATAGTAAGAGACATATTTTATGTAATGACCCTATAGATACATACATTTATGAAAAGGAAAAATTTTATCAAACAACTTTGTGTTAGTCTGTTTGTGTTGCTGTAAAGGAATAGTCGAGGCTGGGTAATTTTTAAAGAAGAGAGGTTTATTTGGCTCATGGTTCTGAAGTCTGCACAAGAAACGTGGTGCTGGTATCTGCTTCTGGCGAGGGCCTCAGGAAGCTTATACTTGTGGCCATGTCACATGGTGAGAGAGGGAGTGAGAGAGAGAGGCGGAGGTGCTAGGCTCTTTTAAACAGCCAGATCGTGCATTAACTCATTGCTGCAGGGAGGGCACCAAGACATTCGTGCAGGATCCGGTATCATCACCCAGACAGTTCCCACCATGCCCCCACCTCCAACACTGGGGATTACATTTCAACATGAGATTTGGAGGGGACAGACATCCAAACTTTATCCAACTCTAACCCTATGTATGATGTATTCTTGATACTTTTCCTTCTATTTCATTAAAAAAAAAAAAAAAAAGGTGGCTGCAGCCCCTAACTTGGCCCAGATCTAATGTCCACTTTTTCTTCACTTCCTGTTTTGACAGATGAATTTTTATTTGCATCACAGTGCAACTAGTAAAATTAGACTTCTGGTATGTGTAGGATGGAGTTACATCAAGAGTAGAAATACTTAGTTCTAGGATGGCAAATATTCAGTGTTCTTGTTATGGCCGTATTTATAGTACAGCCTTCTCTCCCTAGCCAGTCCTAATTGGAGATACGCTAATTGAACATGGCCTAACATTTCTTCTTGCTGAATCAAGAAACATCCTTAGAATCTTCTTCAACATAGTGCCACTTCATACAACTACTGTCACTTATTAGGTGAAATTCTGGCCTTTTAAATAAAATCTTTAGGCCATCATATTATTTTGCTTCCATCTATGAAGACCAGATACTCCTCAGACCACCCAAATCATTTCTTGCATTTCTTCCCATTCAGATCAGGGTAAGAGTTAAGAAAAGAGCCACTGCCCTGTGTTCCTCATTGTCTTCCTCTCCTGCCTTGGAGTGAGCTTTGTTCTGCCAGTGATCATATTTCTCAGGTCTTTTTTTTCCTCTGTCTGATCATTTAGTATTATGTGTATAATGTGTAAGAAAAGCATGTAAGCTTTTGTACAGTGCCTTGTATACAGAAATTGCTCATTAAATACTGTTATTACTATTCCAAGTATTTTACCTATCCCCCAATCTCTCTCTTGAGGTCCAGGCCTGTTGGAGCTCTCTCGCTACATGTTCTGTGGACTCCTGAAATTAATTTTACTCAGGCGAGTTCTGTTGGAACTCTTGAATACAGTTAACTTCATTTTTTTTTCATTGCTTTTTGTGATTACTGGTGACGTAGGAAAAATAGTACACTCATCAGAAAGAGAAAGCATGCCAGTTCTTTTTTTTTTTTTTTTTTGAGACGGAGTCTCGCTCTGCCGCCCAGGCTGGAGTGCAGTGGCCAGATCTCAGCTCACTGCAAGCTCCGCCCCCCGGGTTCCCACCATTCTCCTGCCTCAGCCTCCCCAGTAGCTGGGACTACAGGCGCCCGCCACCTCGCCCGGCTAGTTTTTTTTTGTATTTTTTAGTAGAGACGGGGTTTCACCATGTTAGCCAGGATGGTCTCGATCTCCTGACCTCGTGATCCGCCCGTCTCGGCCTCCCAAAGTGCTGGGATTACAGGCTTGAGCCACCGCGCCCGGCCCTAGCATGCCAGTTCTTTAAGGGAGAGACAGAGTTTCCTTGGACATTAAACTCAGAAAGCAGTTTTTGACAATAAGGGATATTAAATGACGGCGATTTTCAAAAATAGTTTTACAACAGATGTAGACATGGAGCTATGTAAAATACAGTTTAGGTAAAATTATTCTCAGAGGTTAGTCTGATGTGTTCCTTTGGCCTAAGTTGATCTAAGTATAAAATGTAGCTTACCTAGAGGAGGGCAGTAGTCCCTCTCCTATCTTCCCTAAATTACACTTTCTTTGAGCCAGTCATTTAGCAAAAGCTGGATACCAGATGTTGTACTTTGAAGGAACAGACTTTGATGAGGTTTTGGAGTGCTGTCTTTATTAGTTTTCTATATTGTTGATCAAAGTTGGTTACTTTATAAATGCTTTAGAAACCAGATGGAAAGGTTATGAAAACCCAAAGAATCTAACTAGTATGTCCAGATATAAAGGTACCTCCATATCTCTGTGCAGGTAAACCATAGTGGCACCTGCAGGCAAAGCCAGCATTTCCTCAGAAGGCAACTTTGTATCCGCCTCCAGTAATTAAACAAGTGTTATCATTGGAGTGAATGAAGTTTCCCCTTTTTGGTGTGGTCAAAGGATAGTAACTTTCCCCAAGAACACAGTAACATTTTTAGCCAGTTATGAGAACTCTATAGTGTGACTTGAATAATACTCCTATGAAACTTAGCCAACTCTTGAAGATTTCAGAATTTCTAATCAGTTTTCTCCAGAGGCTAGTCCAGTTTGTACGTTTTCTATATATTCTATTAATATTCATATATTTCAGAAATACTGTATTGAAATTTTTAAAGGGCTTATACTTATGAACTATAAAAAAGAACTGTTCCTTCTTATTGAAGACATTCAAAGCCACATGTTTTTGGTTTGACAGGTTTTTAAAAAAGTGTTCTTTCTCATCCTCAGTAATATCCCTATTTTGTTGGTGAAGTTTTAAATCACAAGCTTTCAAAATCACACCTCAGTTGAGATCCAAGGAAATGATTGTGTATACTTTCTGTAATAGAAACATTTTTCTTTCTCCTAAACAGTACAGAAGCTGATTTGCTGCTAGAGATGTCTAGCTCATATCTGCTGTGGGGTTCAGGGAGCTTGAAGATGAGTAGAGAGTAGAATAATACCAGTGAGAAACTATGCGTCCCAGAGAGTACACAGGTCAATGGAATGTTCTTCAGGACCTCTCTTTGGTGCAGTGGAATTACATTGTAATGAATACAGTAGTAGAACTCACAATTCCCAGATACACATCTTGGAGAATTAACAGCTCTAAAGCACAGACTCTATGTAGAATTTAAGCCAGTGAAAAGAAATACTTTAGACTCCATAAGATAAAATGTTAGGGTTGAATGTATACATCTCCATGCCTTTTTTCTTCTATCCCAATATCTTTTTGGTCGTGAGACTTTGTTTCAGCTGGAGGCTTAACTGTGTGGGTGAATTTTTCTAAGTGGTTTGTGGATAATTGAATAAAATTGAAGGATAATTATTACTAGATGCCAGGACAAGGGAAAGCTAGGAAACAGCTATGATTTCAATCATCGGTTCACAGGGTGTGGTCTAAGGACTCCTGAGGCTCTTTCAGGGTGCCTGTTGAAATTGAAAGTATTTTCATAGTTTTGCCTTTTTAACTTGCAATCCCACAAATACATGACAGAGTTTTTCAGAGGTTACTAGATGTGCCATGGTATCATTGCTGTGATGGCTAATGGAGGTTTTAAACATTTTCAGCTTTAATTTCTAACACAATAAATCTAGGCAGATACATTTAAAAAAAAAATGTGTGACAGGGTTTCTCAATAAGTTTTAAGTGTGTATAGGGGCGCTGAAACCAAAATGTTTGAGAACATTTTGATTTGATTTAAGAATGTTGATTTAGATATTGTCTCCCCTAAAAAGAATCCAACACGTAGCTACATACACTATAATTGCAGACCCTGGAATGGGTTGAGACTTAGCAGATAAAATCTAGATATTCAAAACTATGGTGAAATGTGAAGAATTGCACACATAGGCACTTCTCTAGCATGTGTATCATTCTGTCAGCAACTTTTTATTAAGCTGCTACTGTGTTTCTATCTAGTAAAGAACACAATAGAACAGCAGTGGGAAACTCTAGCTAAGAGTTCATACTTCAAGAAAGTAAGGATCAATAAAATATACTTGGAAAACAGTGAATATCTCTATAGGTCGTCATGTGCTAAGCCATGTGATATGAGAGCTCAGTGAGATAAACCAGAAATGTCTGTTGTTGCCATTATACCCAGTCCCCTCTGCAGTAGTTGTCTTTATTGAAGTCTTCCTGTTACACCGTAACCTCTTAGAGGGAGAGGATTCTGTCTTATGTATCTGTGTGTCCTTCCCTAGCACTTAGGAGAATACTTTGGACATTCATAGTCCTTAAGAAACATGATTGAATTTGTGGATTTGATATGGGCCTTCCTTCTTTCTATGTACGGAATTTGTATCGAGCACCTACTCTTAGTCATGCTGTGGAGGTAGGTAATTGGAAGTTGGGATGGATTAAGGGGTGGCTCTGAAAGCTGAATAAGGTTTGATCCTTGGAGAAGAAAGGGAGTTCAAGGCCAGGGAAGTGGCATATGTGCCCCAGGTGCACAAAACACTAAGAGTCCAGAGACTAGAATGGGCATTGCATACTTGGGAAACATGTTAAGTTTCCTAGTTCAATCTTGTTACAGAGCGGGATAGTGCAGATACTTTCAAGGCTCAGTCTGCAAGATTGCACTGTGGTTTTCTTATGCAACTAAACAGACTCTAAAGGCAAAAAAATCATGAAACATTTTGATGCTTTGCTTTCCTTATGGGAGCTCACTGTAACCAGATGAGTCAACTCTAGCTAGTGTTACTGTGAATCATTCAATATTTTCTTTCTTAGAAAATAAAAATGGTGATGGTATTATTATCTGTTATTTACCAGGGCTAGATATTGTTGCTCTAAACTCTTTGCTTCTTCTCATGAGGCATTATTATTTTCCACATTTTAAGATAAGGAAATTAAGCTCCAGCAGGAAAGACTAACTTGACCTACAAATTGTGGTAGAGTCAGAATTCAAACCCAGCCAGTTGACCCTGGGCCTGTGCTTTTACCATTGTTGTACTTCTCTCGTACTTCTCCCTGTGGTATGCTTAATCAAGGTTGATTGTCCCAAAATACAGAAGCAGGAATGGGTGTCTCAGGTGATGAGACTGTGTTTAGTTACAAAAAAACTAATTTTTGTCAATACCTATGAAACTTTAAAAAAATTAATTCAAATGTGTTGAAATATTCCCTTCTGTATTACATTTATGTTTTTAAAAATCTGAGCTATATAATATTAAGGTGATTTCATCAAAGACCCTTAAGCTGTTATAAAATGTCTGCATATTTATGAGGTCTTGAAATTTTAATATTTTTCTCATTTTTGTGTTGGGTCCCTTCACTAGCCTAATAAATTTGTCATTAATAAGCTTGTATGTCTGCAAAGTACTTTGAACTTTCTTTTATAAAATTGCTCACATAAATACAGATTATTTTCAGTGGGAAATAGATTCTTGCACTTTTTTCACTGCTTCATGTGATGCCCCAAATAAAATTTGCATTTGACCAAAAGAGAGTAGTGAAAAGAATGTGTACTACAAGTGTGTCCTAAGATGAGAAATAAGACAGTCCTCACATAACCAAGAATGATCTAATTCTTCACTTGTGAATAAAGATCGGTTCTTAGAAATGATTCTTGTTCCTGAGATCTTAAGTAGTAATTTATCTTTATTAAGAAAACACATAGCAGGGCGTAGTGGCTCACGCCTGTAATCCTAGCACTTTGGCTTTGGGAGGCCGAGACGGGCAGATCACCTGAGGTCAGAAGTTCAAGACCAGCCTGACCAACATGGTGAAACCCCATCTCTACTAAAAATACGAAAAATTAGCCAGGTGTGGTGGTGGGTGCCTGTAATCCCAGCTACTCCACAGGGTGAGGCTGGAGAATCGCTTGAACCCAGGGGCCACTGCACTCCAGCCTGGGCAACAAGCAAAAACTCCATCGTAAAAAAACAAAAACAAAACAAAACGAAAAACCCACATGTAATAGTGAAGTCACTAACTCTGTGTTTTCTACAGATCTAACTTTTATTTAAATGCATGACCTAGTTACTAAGAATTGTCTTAGTATTTCATGTAAGAAGTACTAAGTTGGTTTATTTAAAGTTAATTTTAATTATATGTGTGGGAAGATTCTTGAAACTTAACATGGCCATGGGGTCAGGGCTATCGTACCATTCTCTCTACTCATGGATAGACTTGAAAATTTTCCTTAAACAAACTTCTCAGTATAAAGGTGGTTTGAGAAATTTGTTTACAATAGTGATGGTCATAATTATTAAGCCATAATTATCAATAAAATCAGGTTTTTCTTTCTCATATTGGCTAGTGTGCAACGTTTGTGAATGCTCTTCAGTTTACACAATTGCATTCCACATATTAAAAACAAAACCATTGCAGTCTGTTATTTTAGCCTTTATTTGGTATCAGGTTGGTAGTATTAGTAAAATTCTGTATAAACTTCAAGACATGCATAACAGTATTTCTTTGCTTATGGCCCATTTTCTCTCTTGTTTCCCTTCCTCTAGAGATATATTGCCATTGGAGAACTGGGGAAAGCTACTGATACACTAGATTCTACGGGGAAGGTAACAGAAGAAAAGCCTTACGGTATGAAGCTCATCTCATGTAGGCCTGTTTTCTAACATTTAGGGAAAGTTTCTGTGAAGGTAGAATTTTAAAACAAATCTAAGTGTTCAGAATTACTCTTCCAAATAACCTCCTTGCTTGCAAAAGCACTTACGGCTAGGATTTACATTGTTTTCCCTAGTAAATGAGCAACAAAGCGGAGATACTCTGTTAGATTTTATCTGTCTTGCCATTAAAAAAAAAAATTACCTGTCAGCTGTTGAAATAAATGTACCAGGCTTAGTACTTTAAAACTCATCATGTTTTTGTGCTTTTGTACTATGTAAAAAGAGGACAGAGGGCGAGCTGTTTCTCTGGAAGTAAAGCAGAGCTCACTGGGGCCCACCTTAAGTTTCCTACTATCCCTTCTTTCACTACCCTAAGGAAGGATAGATAAATGAAATGGTCTCCTAGCAGCTCTCACAGTGCTTATGCTGTTTATAATGCAGCAATTGCAGTTTTCTAAGTCAGTTCACCTGCATGATTATGTCACCAATTTGTGGACTTTGTGCTTTTTTGTTTGTTTGTTTACTGTTATCTCTTAGTCGTAGGCAAGCCAGCATTTGGCCCCCTTATAGTTTTGTGTTGATTATCCTTATTACATATTGCGTATTGCCGCAGTAGTGAGGACAACCTTTTTGTTGTTCATAATAGCTTCATTTATTCTGTTAACATTTATATGTAGCTTAGTATCTTGCTCAATTAGGCAACATAATGAAAAGAAAAATTGCTGATTTATTTCAAGACTTTTCAAAAACAGATGTTGAAATATTCTTGGAATTATTATTATTAGCATATAATAGCAGACCCTCACTTAATTGAAAACCAGCTTTAACCTTCAACCAGAAGACTTGTAAGATTAAGGAGGCATAGGGCAATAAGAGGACATCAGAGATTTCCGGAGTATACTAAAGGATTCATGAGGACTTATGTAATTAAGTTTCCTGTTTCTCTGACTCTATTTACCAAACCATAATAAGGAGAATGATTATTATTCAGAATAGTAGTCCTGGGGTAATATAATTAAGGCTGGGGGGGTACCACGTGGTGAAAAATATAAGGCGCACTAGAGTAAACAAATCTGGGTTTAATTTCTAGCTCTGCCCTTATCTAGCTGCGTAAATTTGAAATTTTCTTAGTCTCTTTATGTTGCAGTTTTTTCATCTCCAAAATGACAATAATGATAGCAACCTCATAGTGTGATTATGAGGATTGATTGGAGGAGAATGAATTTGGAGGTCTCGTAGACACGTCATGAGGCTCTTATAGTAGTACAAGCAAAGATGATGGTAGGTTGGACCAGGGTGCCAGTGGTAGAGACAGAATTTTCCTATTAGAAAAATTTCCCATGATTAGGAAGTAAAACTGGCAAGACTTGCTTTTTAGTTGATTGGATGGGATAGTGAGGAAGTTGTCAACCATGATCTAGGTTTTGGGGTTTTAAAATTGGTTACGTGATGGTGTAATTCACTGAGGATGCTGGAAGGGGACCAGGGTGACAAAAATACTTAAACATATCCCTTCTTCCTATTCTTAAGCATTTTAGAATTTTAAAAAGCTCTATGCTGTGTTAGGTAATTTGTCACCTTATTTACTTACCTTAAAGAAAGCTCAGTTTGTTAGATCATCTCATTGTAGTGATGCAGTAAATCATAGCGAAACTAACAACGTTTTTCGACTGTGAAGGGAAGAGCTTCCTACAGTTTATTGAATAGTATTTGTAGTCCCGGAAAATGAGAGCTCAGAGAATTTTGCTGATTGGTGTGATTTTTCTGTGTGCTTACAGTAAATCAACAAATACTTTTTTATTTGTTGAAGCTGCTATAGCAGGTACCAAGGGAAAGATAGATAAATGTAAGACCTAGCCTGTGTCCTTAAGGAACTTACTGTCTAATGGAGAACTCTGACCAATATTCTCAACCTTCTGAGACCTAATACAGAGACCTGTGACCAATATCTTACAATGCCTTCTTTACTATCCTGAAATAAAATTCAGAGATACTTGAATTTACTTATACATTTAGAAAAATCAATATGATATTGTAAATGGAATATAAGTAAGAAATAAAAGTAATTTATAATAAAGTAGGTGCATTCATATATAAACACACAGATACTAGCACACTAAAAGTCTTTTGGCTGGAGTGCAGTGGCGTGATCTTGGCTCACTGTAACCTCTGCTTCCCGGGTTCAAGTAATTCTTCTGCCTCAGCCTCCTGAGTAGCTGGGACTACAGGCATGTGTCACCATGCCTGCCTATTTTTCGTATTTTTAGTAGAGGCGGGGTTTCACTTTGTTGGCCACGCTGGTCTTGAACTCCTGATCAACACTCAAACATACAGCATAATTGTAAATAGTGAAAAGTGCTATTTAGGAATAATAGAGTGTTATGATAGAGAACAAAGGGAAAGGCCCTGTTACATGCTTTGATATTTGAGTCTAAGCCAGATACACATTTTCTTATTCCTCTGAGATAGCCTTCAGCTGTCTGACATAACAGTTAAAAATAGTATTTGTCTAGATAGGACAAAATGACTTAAGAACATTAACTTGCCATTGACTGCATACTGAGTTACTTTATCCAACATCAGTTGTTCTTGACAGGTCAATTAAAAACTGTGTTTCTAGTTGTTACAATGACTGGGTGGGGTGGTGACACCAGCTGCCTTCAATGGGTGGAGACCAGGGATGCCAGATGTCCTGTAACACAGAGGATCGTAGAACACAGTGAAGAATTGTCCAGTGTACTGCCAGACTTCAGGATGTCTGCCAGATAGTCATGCAGGTGTATTTCAGCCATGGGGCTGAAACCATGTCTCTTTTGGTCCTCAGTGTATTTTTGGTGTAGTATATAGCATACAGAATGACATATATGACATATAGAGTTTGAATAAAAAAAGATAGGCAGCAGAGGCATTCTCAGAAAAGATGGTTGCAGTTAAGCCGGGAAAGGCACAGCATCTTCCTGCCTTTTGCTGCTGTCTTCTCATCCACGTCTAAGTATTAAGTGTCTGCTACTATTGCTGGTGTCTCTGAGGACACGCAGCTTCAGTGTGCTCATCTGTTCTCCACTGAGCTCAGGACACTAGGACCATAGCTTCTCAGGCTAGATGTGGACCAAGCGTCTGGGAAGGCCTAACTGTCCCTGTAATGGGAGTAGTTTTTTCTGTCCCTCCCATGAGGCAAGAAAGGTAGAAAAAAAAAGTGGAATCTCATGCTAATCTTTTATTCTAAACACCACCACCCCTTAGTCCTGAGATCAGATGTTACCAAGGTCTTCTCAAATGGATGTAGCTAATGTTGTATCTAACAGTACTGGCTCCTTTTGGACTGTATATGGTTTGGCTGCTGAGACTTATCCTGGAGTAAGCTCAAGAGTTGAATTTAGTTTCAAATTGTGATGTAAACTAATAGGGTATATGCTATAATTGGTCTAGTGTGTAGCTAGGTATAAAAATTCTTACAGAGCTGTTTGTATTTAAACTTTTCATTATAAAATGTTGTACAAGTAAAGAAAATGAAACAAAAAATAAAGGTACAGCTCTATCAATTTTCACAAAACAAATATCTGTGTAGCTAGCTATCACCCTTAGTCAAGAAATAGAAGATTTCTAGAAACCACACTTGTGCCCTATCTGTCATTACCCTGTCCTCCTTTTGCAAAGATAACTACTATTCTAGCGTCCAACACTATGGAGATGGTTTTAAAACTAAGGCATAGTTTTGCCTGTTTTTGAATTTAGTATAAATAGAATTAAACACTATGTGTCCTTTTGTGTCTAAATTCTTCCACTTAGTATATTTTTGAGATCCATGTTGGTACATGTATGAGTATTTTGGACTTTTTTATTGCTATGTAATATGCCACTGTGTGAATATACTACACACATACTGTCCCAGTTTGGGCTTTGTGAATAAAGTGCTGTGTGTGTTTTATACCTGCCTTTTGGTAGACATATTTCTACCGTCATTTCCCTTGGGTATATACCCAAATGGAATATAGGTCATATATTTGTGTGTGTGTGTTTGTGTGTGTGCGTGCGCATGTGTTCCTGGGTTACAGAATGGGTGTATATTTAACTGTACTGGAAATTGTCAAACAGTTGTCCAAAGTGATTGTACTTGGAACACTTTGCATTTCCACTAGCAGTGCATAAGCATTCCACTTGCTTCACATCCTTAGCTTTTAATAGTGTTTTTAATTTTGGCTGTTCTGATGAGTGTGTAGTTGTATTCCATTGTGGTTTTGATTATTGATGAGATTCAGCATCTTATCAAGTGGTTTTGGCTTACGAACCATTTTCTTTTGTGTATTATCTGTCTGTTTGGGTCTCTTACCCATTTTTTATTTGTTCTTTCCCTTTTGAATTGCCTTTTTCTTATACATTTGTATGAGTTTTTGTTTTTTATTAAGCACCTTCCATTCGAGGATGTGTAGGTTCTTTATATACTCTGGATATGTTCTCTTCTTTTGGTTATGTGTGTTGCAGATATTTTCTCCTAATTTGTGGCTTGCCTTTTTCCTCTCTTATCTTTTGAAAAACACAAGTTCTTAGTTTTAATTTAGTCCAGCTTATCAGGACTTCTCCTTTATGGTTGGTCCTTTTGGTGTCCTGTTTAAGAAAACTTTTCTGACTCTTAAAGCATGAAGATATTTTCCTATGTTCCAGAAGCTGTTACTGCTTTGCCTTTCATGTTCCCTCTGCAGTCCACCTTTTCTTCCTGCATGGATGTCCAGTTGCTTCAGCACTTTCCCAGTACTCTTGTGTTCTCTCCTTCATTACACTCAAGTACCCACTTAGGCTATTGTTTAAAAAAAAAAAATCTATTTTTTTTTACATTGATCAGTTCGTTTATACTTATATGTACACCAGACTATATTAATTGCTGTAGTTTTAGACTATCTTGCTATCTGGAAGAACAAGTCCTTCCTACCTTATTTCTTACATATTTTTTTCTGTAGGTATTTTGTTTTTTTTTTT